CATTCCCGTAAAATGAGACAAACGAGTGGACAAACCGAGTACGTATGTGTGTGTCAGTGTATGTTTGCTAAATCTATGCCCTTTGGTTTAACAATATGCATATAGTACCTATACATATGTTCGTACAAATGCCATGAGTCAGCGGTTAGGTTCGAAAGTTACGCATTTCCGCCAATCCTCTGTTACTTTTTAATGATCGACCTATCAGCGAAATTTGCTTTGGAGCCGTTTCGTAAATCGGAGAATGAAAAGATCGAAAAACGAAAGTCGTTGCCGCAAACTACATGATTCTAGGGATTTTTTGAGCTATCTCGTAAAAATTAGTGTCCAACCGTGTAGGAGGAGATGTTGGCCAAAAAAACGACTCAGTTAGCTTTGTATATACAAGCTCAACCTCGGCCTCCGGCCTCGGTTGAGAATTTTTAGAATTGAAGAAAGTAATGGGGTAGTTTTAAAAATATTTAGGAAAAGGAATTTAACTGGATTGGAAATGCGGTTTGTTTTGAATTTTCATTGTCGTCATTAAGTACTCAATGCTACAGAATTCAGCTAAGTTAGTTAGTTATTTCGGTAGACGGTTGAAAGTGTAAAATTTCTTTTTGCTTTACTGTGTTTTCCCGTTATGGTATAACCACGTCGCAAGGCGTAAAGCGAAATTGCGCTTAGCATTAGTAACCTCGTGTTACGCAATAGGGAGTATGTTGTGTAAATCAGTAATTGAATTATTACGTTGATATCTTATTATAAATATAATAAACAGAGCTACAAAATTAATATAAAGAGGCAACCATAAATATTAAACATACACATGTACTAATGAAAGTGCCATCGTTAAAATCGTCGTCCACAAAGAAGGTCGAGCCAAATAGCATATCGGCCAAAAAAAATTATTATTAACATATCGACCGAATCCCTGCTCCACTGTCTGACTGAAAAAATTCCCTTTTTTATATGACCGGCGAAATCCTTTACATCTCCGTCTAACCGCCAAAAATCCCATCCTTACTATCTGACCGGCGAAAATCCCTGTACTTTTATCTAACCGGCGAAGATCCCTGTACTTCTACCTGATCAGAGAAAATCTTTGTAGTTTTCTCTGACCGGCGAAAACCGGTGTATTTCTATCTGACCGGCGAAAATCCCTGTACTTCTATCTGATCAGCGAAAATCTTTGTAATTCTATCTGACCGGCGAAAATCCTGTATTTCTATCTGACCGGCGAAAATTCCTTACGTCTATCTGATCGGCGAAAATCCCTGTATTTCTATCTGACCGGCGAAAATCCCTGAATTTCTATCTGACCGACGGAAATCCCTATACTTCTATCTGACCGGCGAAAACCCTGTGTTTCTATCTGGCCGGCAAAAATCCCTGTACTTCTATTTGACCGGCGAAAATCCCTGTACGCCTGTCTGACCGGCGAAAATTTCTGTACTTCTATCTCACCGGCGAAAATCCCGGTACTTCTATATGACCGGCGAAAATCGCTGTATTTCTATCTGGCCGGTGAAAATCCTGTATTTCTATCTGACCGGCGAAAATCCCTGTATTTCTATCTGACCGGCGAAAATCCCTGTTTTTGTATCTGACCGGCGATAATCCCTGCATTTCTATCTGACCGGCGGAAATTCCTGTACTTCTACCTGACCGGCGAAAATCCCTGTATTTTTATCTGATCGGCGAAAATCCCTTTCCTTATCTCTCACCAATTATACATTTCTGCCAATCAGCTATTTGTTACCTTATGTTAAGCCAATCAGCGAAATTCGTTTTGGTCATGCTTTGTTATTCGAATGACGAGAAGATCGAAAAACTAAAGTCAAAAGGACAAATAACACGATTTAATTGAGCGCTTTTTAAGCTATCGTGGGAAAATCAGCGCCGAAAGGATAGGAGAAAAATGATGAAAAACGGCCAAGTTTAGCTCTTTATATAAATAATAGTAATTGTAAAAATATGTACATGACTACATGTATAACCAGGCTACCCCCCACGCTAGTGCCACATCAATCAGTCTGTTTTACGTTACGCTTTTTTGCATTTCTGTATTTCCACTATATCCATAATATTAACAGTATTAACTAACCGTATAGTGATCTTTGGCTCCTAAGTGTCGTTGTACCGCATGCTATTAGTCAGCGGTTTTCGTTCGAAACGTTTCGCATTTCCGCCAATCCTTTTTTTTAATTTCTAACGATAAGCCAATCAGCGACATTCGTTTCGAATGCGTTTTGTCAATCGGAGGACGAAATAATCGAAAAACAAAAGTCGTTGACGCAAACTACATGCTTTTAGGCGCTTTTCGAGCTATCGTGTAAAAATAAGTATTGAACGATGTAAGAGTAACTGTTTCAAAATAATAATTATTTTCATCTGCTGCATTCAAAACTTGCATTCCCGTAGAATGAACCAACCGAGTGGACAAACCGAGTACGTATGTGTGTGTCAGTGTGTATTTGCTAAATGTATGCCCTTTGGCTTAACAAAGCCTCTTAATATGCATAATTATACTGTAGTATACATATGTTCGTACATATGCCATGAGTCAGCGGTTTAGGTTCGAAAGTTACGCATTTCCGCCAATCCTCTGTTACTTTCTAATGATCGACCTATCAGCGAAATTCGCTTTGGAGCCGTTTCGTAAATCGGAGGATGAAAAGATCGAAAAACGAAAGTCGTTGCCGCAAACTACATGATTTTAGGGATTTTTTTAGCTATCGTGTAAAAGTTAGTGTCGAACGGTGTAGGAGGAGATGTTGGCCGAAAAAACGGCTCAGTTAGCTTTGTATATATAATAATATGCCCATGCCAGTTACATTAACTGTCGCCACTGTCAAGTTAGACGGTGGTTTTGTGAAAGAATGAAAGAATGTAAAGTGCTGATTATGTACAAATGCTATATCTTCGGCTGTCGTAACACTAGATAGGGTGTACATCCAACAATGTTTCAAACTTTAAAATTTTGGATTTAACGGCCTTGCACCGAATTTCGCATACTAGTTTTTAACAAGGTCACAAAGATTACCGATACACATATCATTCGATACACAAGTCAATTATCAACAACTTATTGGGACCAGTTTTTCAAAAATTTCCATTTTAGAATCATGAAAATTTAATAGGTATCCGCTGGTGTGCGTTTTTACCTACCTCATAAAGTTTACACAGTCATTACCCGATAATCAAACCGAAAATCGAAAAACTGGTCCCAAGCTTTTGTAGAGCACACTTTTCTTAATCTGGCGCTGTGTATTTGGTTTGATAAGAATGCGATGGCAAAGACTAGTTTGCAGAAGAACTCCTAAAATTTATTGTTCGTGAAACAACAAAATCCAGTGTACGTGGTAAATGCGCAGTCTGAAACAAACATATGGCGCATGCAGCAATAAGAGGGTATACAAGAGTGGCCACTGGCCAGCTAGCCCGCATATGGACGGCCGGGAGTGGGCAGTTTCACTACGACTGGAGCCGTTCAGTAACTGAAAGCTAATACAAACAAATACGAATACGACAATAAGACATGCGCAGTAAGTAAAAACATCGAAGTAATAAAGGACTACTCTTAGAAGGGCGGACGCCTGCGACAGGAGAACACTGCTGATTCTATAAATGAAATTTAAATATGAATTTCTGAATTTACTGAAGATACTGAAGAAATAAAAATCTGCCGATGACGGGACTCGAACCCGTGCCAGCTGCGTCTGTAGCCGTCCGTCTTACCACTGATCTACACCGGCTGCATTATTAAATCTTCTTAAGATTTTAGCGCACTGTGCGACTGCCTATCATCCCCGCTGCAAGACAGCGAAGCCCCTTGAGCGTAGTCTGATAACAACAGTGCAACAGTGCGTGATACGTACTCCTTCGTACAAGCGCCCCTTCTCTCCGATAACATTGCTGTTGTACTGCAGGCTGTCCACGTATTGTCCGTTTTCTTACACGGTGCTACTGCTATCCGTTTTCTTACACGGTGCGTGTGGAGCCAAGCCTATTGCTGTACTTTAAATACACCCGGAGGGGTGAACCAACGGATCTGCTACCATCTTAGAAGGGCGGACGCCTGCGACAGGAGAACACTGCTGATTTTATAAATGAAATTTAAATATGAATTTCTGAATTTACCGAAGATACTGAAGAAATAAAAATCTGCCGATGACGGGACTCGAACCCGTGCCAGCTGCGTCTGTAGCCGTCCGTCTTACCACTGATCTACACCGGCTGCATTATTAAATTTCTCAAGATTTTAGCGCACTGTGCGACTGCCTATCATCCCCGCTGCAAGACAGCGAAGCCCCTTGAGCGTAGTCTGATAACAACAGTGCAACAGTGCGTGATACGTACTCCTTCGTACAAGCGCCCCCTTCTCTCCCGATAACACTGCTGTTGTACTGCAGGCTGTCCACGTATTGTCCGTTTTCTTACACGGTGCTACTGCTATCCGTTTTCTTACACGGTGCGTGTGGAGCCAAGCCTATTGCTGTACTTTTTATACACCCGGAGGGGTGAACCACGCTCTGCTACCATCTTAGAAGGGCGGACGCCTGCGACAGGAGAACACTGCTGATTCTATAAATGAAATTTAAATATGAATTTCTGAATTTACTGAAGATACTGAAGAAATAAAAATCTGCCGATGACGGGACTCGAACCCGTGCCAGCTGCGTCTGTAGCCGTCCGTCTTACCACTGATCTACACCGGCTGCATTATTAAATCTTCTTAAGATTTTAGCGCACTGTGCGACTGCCTATCACTACTGCCAATTCATTGAGGCCAGTTCAGCCAGCGACACTTCATGTGTTCCTTTGCCAGGCCCGTTGTTTTTCCCATCCCCATACTGCACACGTATGTATTCCAGCAATGGTGCCGGATACACCAGGCAGATGACTTTCGCGTGATCGTATTTAATAACTTTCTCCACGTGCTATTAGTAAAAATTTTCACTCCTTAACTGTTATTGCGATTATTTATTCCACTTTCGAAGCAAATAAAAGTGACATACCAAGATCTGTTTGGCTAGCGCTCTGTAAATCAAAAAGCGGCGCTGCTTGTCATTCTTTCCAACAGACGCAGCTTTGGTGATGAAATCCACCAAAGCATCCGGGTACGGCAGAATATACGTAAAAGGGAAATCAGCGTTGGCGGATGCCGAGAATATAATCATTTGTCATTGTGCTTTTTAATTACTTATACAACTTACTCGTTTACTCGAAAAGCCTGTTCCAGTGTCTCCATAGTAGCTAAATTATCAAATATCCAAATAATTTTTAGAAACGTAGAGAAAAGTAAGTTCTATCGTGTAAGTAACTTTCGTTTGAAAGAAATTTCTGTGCTAACTTATGAGAACTACAGTATTTTCCTGGTGCAGACAACTCAATTTCCAAAATGCCACTTCTTTTATTTTCTATTCAAGAAAGAAACGAGGTGAGAGGAGGAGTGGCCTCACCGCACACCCGCACTGGTGCGGGTGCTAAGTTGTTTTGCTGTTTTTCGATAGTGATTTTCTCCATCTGCCAGATCTTCGGTCTGGCAGATTCTTCAGTTGCTAGCCATCGTCGTCTGAGTAACTTGCTGCTCTTTTGGCCCCGCAGCATTCTGAATGCTGCGGGAGCTTCTGTAGTGCTATATGAATGGGATAAAGTGTGCAGTTGATTGTCGGGTGTCTTGCGTTTCCGCATAACTCGTAGTATACAACACTGCTCACTCTGCAGGATAGATTCCGTTTCTGTCTCTGTCCGTGGATTCTTCCTAGATCCACCATCATAGAGGGTTCTCTACTCCAGACAGAAAGTAACACCAGACAACCAATCAAAGCAGTAGCATACATATTAATATGTCTCTATTGCATAAGCTCCGGCTTTGTACGCGCTTTTGTTTAAATTCCGCTTCTTCTTTGGTGTATTTAGAGGAGAATTGCCGGGCAATCCCAAGACCGTTCTTGGCAATCCTCGTCTGCGCTTATTTGGTTTAGGTGACGCAACGCATGGCAGGCGCGGGGGCAGGGTCAGAGGATCGCAATCTTGAAATTCTTGCATAGAGTAATTTTCATTTGACACTTGCATCGAAATCAACTTCTGGTAACGGAGCCGGCATGTCGGTTTTGATTTCAATAGTTTTTTTCCAGGATTTTCTACGACGCTGGTACTGGCGCTCACGAATTATATTACGTTGCTCGGCGTAAAGAGCGAATTCTTGCGGCATATCCAATTTTAAACGTTCGAATAAACGGCGAACGTAAAAAGCATAGCCGTCCTTCCAAATACTGACGGCAGCGCTGTTTCCGTAGTGCACACATCGTGCAGAAGAATACTTTTTCTGCAAATAATAATGGTAAAAATAGTGCTTACCTATGTACTGCTACATATATACTGTACTTTGCTACATATATAAGTACTGTGCATACATATATGTACTGTACATAGTCGATTTGAACGTCGGGCCCGTATGAGCCTTGCACGGTCGTATACGACTTGGCATCGCTGTCTTTTGTTACCCTCGCATATCTGCAAAATGTTTTGGATGTTGTTTGTTGGTATCAAACAGGTGGGTTTTATTAATATACATACACCGGCAGCCGCTGCACTACAATCTGCATGCAGTGCTGGTACTGCCGAGCATACCACAATGTCTTCGGCATGCTATGACCTTTTATTACAAATAATTATACGAGTGTTTACTGTATACAGTATATACTATAAATTTCCGCATGCCCATCCATACGCTTAGCGCTATCGACTGTGGGTGTATGTACACATTTTTATGTTTTTATGAAGTTAACTCCAGATTATGTAAAATGCAGTGCTGATTTGTAATAAATATGACTACAACTGCAGAGTTGTGCTATACAAGTATGACAAAAATATTGTTAGTGTTGTACTTACTGTAACTGATACTGCGGAACAGACCTCCCGAAAGCGCGCTGTAATCCATTGCCTTCCATAGTTCCGGAACTTGCTGCGTGATTCACAAAACATTTGGGATCCGTTGCTGAATCCAAATTGCCGTTTTTGTTTGGGCAATCTTTGTGTTCACATTTTACGGTGCAAACTTCCGTATCCAACACTTTTCGCGTTATGCTTGATAAAACGGTGGCTACGCCGTGCGTCGATTTAGCACCAGCCGTCATCCACGAGCAATCAATAGAAACATTTGTTTTGCCGATTTCCCCTTTCCGTAAGCCGTGGTGTTGCCGCACTTCCATGGCTGCTCTGTGTTTGCTTTCATCGGCAATAATGACTTCTGAACACGCTTGTACTGCATTGCAGATTGTATCGTATGCTCCCCCGGACAGTGGACACAGGCCAATTGCTGATAAAAATCCACTTAGCCGCTTATGTTTCATATCAAACAGATGACCGGCAGTGACCACAGAGACATTACAATCACGCTGGAGACTTTCATAGTAATCACTTCGCACTAACTTAGACGAGTAGAATTCCCGCGAATGATTACCACACGAAATTTTGAGTTTAAAAGACAGTCCAGATTTAGAAACAATCGATAGTCGGCTTTGGCGTTTGCAGACATCGGCACCATTTTTCGTATGAGTAACATGGTTACAATCACCTTCAAGTAAATCTCTCAATAAATCACTGTCAAACAGAAGGTTTTCAGGAAAAGCACGAGAATTGCCAATCTTCGTCGTATTGCGTTGTTTTCCTTTGGTGAAATTTCGAACTTTTTCATGACTTCTTATGCGAGGCATATTGTAAATTTATATGCCAACGTCACCACGGTTAGAGTGATACTGATAAACTGCTCTGCAGTCTGCATCATACTCTTGCTGATGAAACGCTCAGCAATTTGTTACATGTGTGAAGATTGTTCCCATGATTGTTATTGATCAGCTGGCACTGACAGTGGTCATCTGTGTAAATAACAAGGCCATAAAATGTGGTAGTGTACCTGTGCCGACTGATTATCCCCTAACCTTATGATAATCACTGCTCGGCACTCTTCAGTCTGACAATACGATAGCGCCAGGTGGCCATCGTCCACACAAGCAGCGCGCGCGGTGTAAAGCAGCCCAAAGCCGAACCGATACCGCCGGCTACTACACAGCGGCAGCTTTAACGGAACAGAGAAACAACTGCATCAAGGCAGGTTTAATTCACTGTTTTCTTCCACCGACCGGTTGTTGAAAAAAATTCACTGTTTTAAGTGGAGACGGCCGATTGTTATTTCCGATACGCCATCCTGTAGCTTACGTGTTACTGTATCATTGGTAATTTTTTCCAAAAAACGTTACAGAGTACCCCAAGCACGCCATTTCGCCTTAAATACTGCGTTGTTCATATTCAGCAGTCTTCAGTGACCTTTCTCGAAAACAAAGTGCGTTCTGTACGGCTCTAATTATTCCTTATTATTATGTTTCCTAATAAGTGCTGAGCAAAATGTGTTTCCGCTCCCGTTCTGATAATTAACTGCAATTAGTTTTACAGCTTTCAGGGTCGAACTGTTTCAGATTATGCATAGAGACTGTGAACTGGGAGAACGAAGAATTTTTTCGAAACGGTTAAATTAAACGTAGAAACTTTAAGTTAAAGTTACGCAAACATTGAGTGTGATAACCGAAAATATATATGTAGCAGCAAATCCGTATACGCACGATGCTTTAGACATTTCGGCAAAAGATGTAGGACTCAAATTTTTTTTAATTAGCTAGAATATTATTTGTTTAGTAGCTACACAAAAATTACGCCTTAACTACACGATTTTCGTTCACAATACACTGTATTTGTGCGGATATACAGTGAGGATACGGCATTAATAACAACAATCGTTTCCCTTCAGTACAGCGGCACAGTCGTTGATAAACATCATTTATATTTGACTCCATTCCTTTTGTTGCAGCACGAAGAAATTCTGGATAAAATAGATAAAATTCTGTTTATTCAAAGCACAAATAAGGATATCATTGCTAAGGTAACTAAGGATATCAATAAATATATATACAAGTATTGTATGTATATACAAGGTAAGCCCCGCGCTCGGCAAATGTGTATTGGAAAGGTCAGGCTTGAATTTATGGACTGTAACGAGATACGACAGTAGTGTTATGACAGTAGTCATGGTAGCAGACAGTGGTGGTAGCTTGGTTACTTAATCGCCTACAGATTTGTGGTGGTAGCTAATTCATTCACTCATCTTGAGATTTCGCTCATGAATCATGGTACCTCGGTCACTCACTAGCTCACCTTCAGAATTGCTCACAGGACAATCGTGGTAGCTCGGTCACCTACCTACTCACCTACAAATTTCGCTAACGGGACTCACTCTTTATTATGCTATCGCAAAAATCAAAAAGCGTACACACGACGTACAGTTGTTGTTGTTGCTGTTGTTGCATAAGTATACAGCGTAGTCCTTAGAAGGACCATTGCTCCAACAAATAAACAATCAGAACACGAACAGAAGCGATATGGCCACGGGTAGATGGATTTCTGTATTCTATTTCCGCTTTTAACTGTTCAGAATTTTCAACGTCAACGTTTTTAACGATGATGGGAAAGGTCGTCGTTGGAACAGATATCTTTTCAATTGGTTAAACGTCATTGGATGAAGCCAGCAACTCTTGAGCTTTATCCCGTTCACGAGCAGTATGAAAGGTCAATACGACGACGTACAGTACAATCTGTACAAACTACAGTACATTAATGCATATTGACGCTGTGGTGGTAGGAAGCGTCGTACATGTAGACTTTTGTACGAGATTGGTGTTGCTTATGTTGCCGCTAATTGGTTGATAATTGCTAGCTTCTATGACTCACTAGCACCAGATTGATCTCATGTTAATGGCGGTGTTATCTCTCTTGAATTTTGATGTGCAATTTAGTCTTGACCGGAACATCTATCGAATTGCAATTTAATAACAACATCCTGAATCTGAGATCTCTCGTGTCTTCTAGTAGCGAAAGCATTAGCGTGTACCTACCGGAAGTCACATCCCTTTTACTAACTCTGGATAATTACATCTTCCAGATAACTCTCGTGCACGTAGGAATAGGTAACAGTTTGGTAAGTAGAACTTCGACATAAGAAAACATTTATCTTTCTTATTTTCCCACTTTGTCGATTGAGTAAGGTTTGGTCATCTAGTGCGGTAGTCGTGGTGCGACTTCCGCATAGCATGTCATGGCGCCCACCGGATTGTAACAACCCCTGGGAAACTGGTA